ACATGCCTATGGCCAGTCCTGTGTGCACTTGCATATGTGGCAGTGTTTGTATCTGTGTGTATGTGTATCTGCATGTGGTAGCAGAGTATTGAATTGGGATTAGGATTGAAGGTGCATTAAACTGCAAAATAAACACTATAATTATAGGGCTACCAAATACACTAAAAAGTATTAAACTGCAGAGTAGTCACTATAAAAAGAAAAACTGCAACACATAGGTAAGCTATCCTAACAAATTTCCCAATAGTATCATTAGTCTTTCCTATTTCCTCAGAGCCTAAAGCTTCTACATATCAATCTTGTAAACTAGCCAAGGAGTTGTAAATGTTAAAGAAACTTGCTAAACTAAAAAAATAATAATTAGGGATTGTTTGCTGGCCGTACCTTGATCATTAGCAAACAGTAGGACACAGAAAAACACCTACTCTTACTTAAAGCTGCCCCCATAAATGAGTAAATCATGCTTCTATTGTTCGTCCGGGTTGCCCATATAGTGGTGAGGGGACTCCACTTTGAAGAACCACATTTGGTAAGGGATACTTCTTTCCTCATTGTAAACCATGCCCACAGAGGAGGGAGAGGATTGTCATACACATTAGAGCAGTTGTTCCCAAACTTTTTTCACTTGTGTACTCACTTCTGTACTCCATTTCCATAATTAGTTGCTATTAATGCAAATGTATACTTTTTTGCTCTGCCCCATCTCCCTTTTTCTATGCCCCAAGCTACCACTGCTTCTACTCTGCCCTAAGCTCCCCTCCTCTTCATCTACCCCAGACTCTCCCTGCTCCTCCTCTATATACAATGCAGATACACACACAATCAAACACGCAGATACATAGAAACACATGCTGCCACATATGCAGACACAGATATACAAACACAGACACACTGACACAGATGTACATACATGCAGATACAATGACACACACACATATACATTGAGACACATACAGATACACAGGTACAAACAATGACATACAGATACGGACAAATACAAAGACACACATACAGATATCCAGATACAAACACTGACACTAGTGATGTCGCGAACCCGAAATTTTCGGTTCGCGAACGGCGAACGCGAACTTCCGCAAATGTTCGCGAACCGGCGAACCGACCGAAACGCCATTGACTTCAATGGGGAGGCGAATTTTAAAACACACAGGGACTCTTTCTGGCCACAATAGGGATGGAAAAAGTTGTTTCAAGGGGACTAACACCTGGACTGTGGCATGCCGAGGGATCCATGGCAAACCCCATGGAAAATACACAGCTGGGATACAGAGTCTGGTTTTACAAAGGGCAGAAACTCCAACATTCCTAAATCACAATCAATATGGATTGACACCCGACATGGCGACATATTGACACCTTGACATATGGATTGACACCTGTCCTAGGGATCCCTGATACACACTGACACAGAGCAGAATAGGACTGTTCCTCCTACATAGGGTCACATGGCAGATATGGATTGACACCTGTCCTCAGAGCCCCTGATACACACTGACACAGATCAGAATAGGGAATGTTACCCCAACATCGGGTCACTTGGCAGATAAGGATTGACACCTGTCCTAAGGATCCCTGATACACACTGACACAGAGCAGAATAGAGACTGTTCCCCCTACATAGGGTCGCTTGGCAGATATGGATTGACACCTGTCCTATGGATCCCTGATACACAGTGACACAGAGCAGAATAGGGACTGTTCCCCCTACATAGGGTCACTTGGCAGATATGGATTGACACCAGTCCTAAGGATCCCT